TATGTGAAAACTGTGTCTCAAACCTGTTGCTTTTTAATCTGTTACCAGTTTAATTAACCTAATGATCATAGTTCCTAAGCTATAATGGAAACAGAACCGTGCAAAAACAGCTTTATGATTTATTTGATGGAGCTCCATAAAAAGGAGCCTGAAAAACAATGGGCTGAGAGGATCACTGCAACTCTGGAAACAAAGTGTTGCTGTTTTTAAGTCTAAACTAAAAACGTCGTGTGCCTTCGACCGATTGGTTTCTCTTCTGCACTTTGCTTTCTCTGTTGCATTTGGGGCCATTTGCAATGTATTACTGCACTCTGTTAAATATATAGCCCCTTTTCACTGACCTCAGACCTTTTATTTTCTTTTTATATATGTGATCTCATTTTAACAATGTTTTATCTTTATTTGGTCTAAACGGATTTTATTCTGGTTCTAATACTGTTAATGTTTCCCTTTGTAAAACACTTTGGAATCTCTGTATATGAAATGTGCTATAGACTGTAAATAACGCTGCCTTGCCTTGCAGAAACGGGGTCTTAAGTTTCCAGAGCTTTGCTCTAAAATATACAGCACTTACATGAAAGCAGAAAGTCATCCCTTGAAGATACTAAAGATTTGCTAAAAGGCAGAAACTTGGACAAGATCTAATTGAAATCTGAAGAAAGCTGAGACAGATCATCTAAGCAATAGTGAAATTACAGAGAGAGGAGCAGTGAGGTGGGGCCAAGCTTTCACTATAGATCATGTATCACCACAGCAGATATGCAAAAAAAAAACCAATAAAACATTTAATTTAGCCAAATTTAAGAGGCATCTAAACATTGTAATAACATCTGAAGCTTAATAAGACCTTTGGTTTGCTTTTCTGTGTAACAGAATTGTGACTCATTTGAGGAAAGAGATATTTTGACACTAACACAAACACGGATAACCCATAAAACTCAAGTGTCTTGATTTTTCTGAAGACTGAAGTGGTTGCATGTTGGTACTCGTTTCCCATCAAACAGCTGATGTCTGGTGATATGTTTTTATGGAAATGAAGCAAACGGAAATTGAATTAGCATATGTAGGCTACAGTATGTAAAAATCACAGATGGTCTGCGTGTAATTAAACTTTGTAAGGAAACCTTTTTGAACACACTGAGTGGGCTGGAGGTTTGCTCTTATGGCAGTGTGGATTTAAGAGTTGATCATTTAACACAAAACTGCATCAGCAATGAAAGCGCAGTGATGCAGTGTAAGCTTGTATTTGTGCTAGCTTAAACTGACATTCTGATTATAACAGGAATCATATGACTTGCAGGGTTCACAGGCCTTAGTTTAATGAACAGAAACCCTTTTTGAGAAGGAAGAATCAGACAAACTGCTGGTAAAGTGATCTTACGTCTAGTACCTTACATTTAGAAAAGCTTCTGATATCAATTTAAGTACATGTTGATTATTTGATAGCATCTAATTGGCTTATTTAGCTGCTCAGTGCACTTGAGGTCAAAGCTTTATGTACATTAATGAAGACAACACCACAATCACAACATACCACCACACCACAACAAGCATCAAAGTACAATAAGGCTGTGATTTGCATAACAGATTGCTAACATGCATGATTAGGCTTTACTTCTGTAAGTATATGTGCATCTGTATGACTTTCCAATATACACATATGGTTTGCATGCATTTGATTGTGCACATAGATTATGTGTGTTTAAGTGCTTTAAGCAGTCTGATAAAAGTGGTTCAGTCTGTACTGTCTCCATGCCTGTGTGTGTGTGTGTGTGTGTGTGTGTGTGTGTGTGTTGTCTTTGTTCTCTCCTTTTGATGTGAAACTGTGTTCATCTGGGACAGACACAGACATGCTGCTTCACATACTTCTCCCCACTACTTTTGCCCACTTTTCCTCTTTTTTCTTTTTGCTCTCGCTTCTTTCATCCCCCTCTCCATATGTACGTGAGCATGCACACACACACACACACACACACACACACACACACACGTCTCCATCACATCATGGGACATTACACTGACTTACATTCATTTCCTAAGCCCTTTTCAGACATGCACTGGAATGCTGAAATTACCATGACATTACCCGGGGGAGGCGTATGTGAGAACGCAAATGTCCGAGTAAGTTGATCCGGACATTAAGCAAACTCAAGTGAGCACAGTCCGCGTAACGTTTGAGGGAACAGGAGTGTGCCCATGTTAAAAAAAACCAGCGGTGTGTCTGGGGTATTCACACAGAAAAAAACAGCGGTGTGTCTGGGGTATTCACACAGGGCTAGTGGGTGTGTTCATGACACTCTATCATGTCACCTGAACAAAACTGGAAGCATACAAACATCCACTGGCAAAGAAGAAGAGTCAACCAAGTAAACAAAATGGATTCCTGTAGATGAGGAAGCGTTTGGCCAGGACTATTTTCTGTTGTGTGCTACATGTGTGACAACGTCCAGACCTAATTCCACAGACATCATCTGGAGTTAATGGTTGAAAACAACTAAAGAGACTCATCCTACCCTTAACCACGATCACTACTTGCTGACCCCTAACCCTATTCTTAAACCAAGTTGTCACCCTAACATTTAACGATCTACATGGTCCCCATGAGATAGGCAGAGTCCCCACAGCAGGAGTAATACCAGGCCATATTTCCACATGTAAAATACAGTACATTATAATGCTCAGGTAATCCAAGCATCTACACAATTAAACAACTTATAAAACAAGTCTTTTAGCAATATAATGAGGGCTTAATCACCATACCTTATGATCTTCTATTAGCTAAATAAGAGCTTTTGTTTTGCATACAAAAAGGTTTACTTTCATTGGACTTTAGAAGAGGAGGAGGGTTAAAATTTCTGTGTATATTTATAGTTTGCACAACCATTTATGCAGATGGTGCATCTATTATTTCCATGTCAGCAGTTCGACAGTGCACAATAAGTCTGTGTACTGTCACATTCTTTGTGCTGCTTGTCAATGCAATAGTCTTTTGAATGCATTTGAGTTTTTGAGACTCCCAAAAACTTTATTTTGAGGTTTTCAGGGGTAGTACCAGGGCCAAAACTTCTGAGATCACCTGCTGTCAGTTGATCTTTGATCCCTGTTACTCCTCTGATCTTTCTCATCTTCTTATCTCTCCTTAGTCCATTCTCTTCTCTACTTTAGTCTTCTCTGTCTCACACCACACACACATTCATTTATTCTGAAATCTCACCTGCTTTGCCTGATTCTTATCATCCTCCTACAGAGCAACTGGATCCTCCAACTCCGCCAGAGCCTCCCTCCTCCCTTCATCTGTTTCTCCCATACCTACTGCGAGAGGGCGAGCGCTCGCTCTCTCCCACACACACCTGCAGCTTTGACCACTGCAGCAGCAGAGATAGTAGTATGTCAGCCTTCCATGTGTATGCTCCCCCCACTCTCTCTCACTCATCACGCCAAACGCTGCAGATAAGCAGCCTGAAGTGTAAGCAGTTCATCGTTTAATGACATACACACATACACAAACTAAAACACACAAACGTATATAAAATGGTTTAAACCTGTTCTATTTGCCACCTGAAAGTGAGTGGCAATTTTCCCAAACGTCCAGTTCACGTTTAAAATGGTGACTTTCCTCCTCCTTTCATCACCATCTGTGTGAGGTCACCAGATGTAAAATGGGATTCACACATGTGGTCTTGACACCTGACTCCTGTGTAGAGTTGTTGTACTGGGAAGTATAGATGCGGACTTGTGTGTGAAGAATGGGTTAGTGCACGGGTCTCAATGTCCTCAGAGCCGTGAGAGAACCTTCTCTGTGCAGCCGAAAATGTATAACTACGGGCCGTATGCTCAGAAAACAAGTACCAGCATGTCCACATTACATGAATAATATAATTTTTAGATTAGAGTGAAGATGCATAAACTAACACAAAAAACTTCAGCTTTTCAGAATAAGCTTGTTGGCAGTAAAAGTAGGGTGTGCAGGCTTTTGTGTATTCACTTTAATTTGCTCTTAAATTAAAGCAGATATGAGAGAATGCTGATTTAAATACTGCAGACACAATCATACATTTACATGCCAAGCAGAATAATCACAAATATTATAAGAACCCTGTGTTTCTGGACATTAAATGTAAATAGTAAAGCATCTTTTCCATCAGAATAATTAGCCTTGGTTGTGCTGACCACGTTTTATTTTAAGTCAGTGCAGACAGCGAATGGGACTCACCGTCCAGCTCACAGCCCAGCAGCTCCAGTCGGAGGCCCAGGCCCTCGGTGGTGGCTCTCTCTGGGTAGATCCTGACGTAGCGGGTCAGGAAGGGACCCACAGACCTCAGCTCCGGGGTGTCATGGTTTTGATTCCCGATGAATATCTGAGGGAGAAGAGAGAGGCAGACTTTATTTCAGAGTCTACCAGATGCAAGAATTAGAAAATAAAGAAGTCAGGATGCGTTTTCATTTTCTTACAAAAGGTTTAACATTGAGCTATTAGTTGGGGGGTGTTAAAGAAGAGGTGTAAAACACACTGTCTGGTCCAACCTGGTGCAACTGCTACTGTAGCTGTGAAAGTTTAAAGGATGACCACAAATATCATCAAAGCACAAAGACCTTTCTAACAGGAGAAAGACCAAATAATTCTTGTACTGTATCAGAGAAAAGATGCCAAGTAACAATATTCTATGAAAAACCAGGAATTCTTTTCAGGAACTCTAAATAATCTGAATTCCTTTTTCAGGATAAATCAGTGTTGTAACATAAATTATAAGGTTGTAAATCTCAGAACAGTGGCCAAAATGTACTTTTCCTGCTATTTTTGTTTAAACTCGACAGCGTTCATTGCTTGGAATGGAAAGTCCATCCAGCGCCTGACAATAACAAAACAATAACTTGTACTGTTCTAATGTAAGTCTGCTTCTGATCAGTTTCATAAGAAGCTAAAGAAACTAAAGAACTGGAAGAGACTGAAGCAAACACTAGGAAACTAGAACCAGAGGCCGCCCCTTCACATTGCCAACCTGGGAACAGCACAGATGAGGATGGTTACGGTCAAACTGGAGCCAAGTGGTGGGACACCAAACACCAACCACACTGCTGCCAGCCTGAACAGCAGAGGTTTCCATATGTACAACCTATCAAAGGCTTATGGATGCTGTTTTGTGACTCTGTGTTTAACTTTGTTTCAGCTACCAAGATTAGAGTTTTTATATAGAAGTAAAAATATTCTTTCTATGGTACATGCTAACATTTCAGCATACACATGCTGTGTGCTACTAATCCTAATGTTGTTTTGTTGTTGCATTATTTAATGGTATTTTACCGTCTTGTGCATGATGTGTCTTTTATGCTCCTTTAAACATGTTAACTTTATGGGTATTTTTAAAAATATAATTCAAATTTTAGGGTTTAGCTTTTCCAAAACCTGGCTAGGAACCACATATAGAAATGAGCCTTTCAAACCAACCCTGGTGTTTCTGTTCATCATAGGTATCATAAATATCACTGAATGTACCAATGTTGACAGTGAAGTTCAATATTTTGAATGACAGTATCAGGGAAACAGTTTTGTAATAACTACTATCATTTACTCACTATGCACATTTGGTATTTCTTTATTTTAATGGTCCCTAATTTAAAAATTCTTGTCAATTTCCAAAACTTTTTCTGGAAAAAAAATTATGAATAAGAAGAAATACTGAACTGGCGGTTTAGCTCAAGTAAGAAAACCAACTGGACAGTCACTATATAGGCACTCATGCTTATGAATGGGCATATACATTACACACAGTGTTTATGTGTAAATACGTGTCCCGGCCAGTTCTCACTGAGCCTTCCTGTCTCATCTTTTGAAGAAGTTTTATGAAGAAAAAAAAAACCCCACAGGAAACAGAGCAGGGAGGTGCAGTGAAGGGTCAGAGGAGCATCTAGGTCTCCATCTGCAGTAAATCAGCAGGAGTTTCATGCCAAACCTCGTCCTCCGCCCTGCCATCTGGAACACATAGAGGAGGATGTCGCACAAACGGGCCAGCCGAGAAGAAGAAGGGGACTCTTGATAGCAATGACATGAGCTTCCTCTTGAGAAGGAGGATTAAAAAAAGAAAACAGTTCCTATTTTTTATAATTGTCCTCTGTGACAGTTTGGACTCTGATGTTGTCTCCACCTTCTGTACTATCCACCCACTGTTGTGCACATCCTGTCAATCTCACAGTGTGCGCAGTATGTTTGGACCCTTAGTTGGTGAGGTTTGAGTCTCTGATGGTGGCGCTCTTTGCTGCACTTTATCAGTCATTGTTCCTATTACTACACAATTCCTCTTCCGACACATCACTAAAACATGGTGCTGGCTGAGCCTGAGCACAATAATGATACTGTATACAGTACCTTTAGTGTTGAAACATAATGTATGTTGAGTTTTAGAAGATTTTATATATTGTTATTACCCTTTTAACACGGATTGTCTTGTACTTCCAGGTGCCACAGAAACTTTATATGCATTTGTTTTGTTCTCTACAGTTTTAGGCTAATTAGCTATATACAAGAACTCTGTAGGCAATCAGAGAGGAATAATACTTGCAGCTATATGCGTCCTTGCAGCAGTGCAGAAGTTAATGACACCACTTGAGAATTTTAGGACCTCGGATCTGAACACTGGAAGGATTGAGTGAAAGTACAAATAACTCTGCAGGCAAAGTGATAAATAAATGTGTGCGTGGTCTTGTTCATCATTTAGCTTTCGTCTCAGTGATACTATGAAGCTACACCCCTTATGTTTTTCTTTAAACTGCCTGTTGTGTGTCTGTCTGTAAACCTATGCATATACACTTTTTTCCTTTCCCCATCTGTACTTATCCGTTGTATCCTAATATCATTTGCAGAGTTCACATGAACAGCAGTCTGTAATTTGGTTGCTAAACATCTCATTCCAGGAGAGGCACTGTGGCCAGTCGAACGTCCGTGATGGCTTCCATGAATTACAGATTAGAGTAAGAGGAGGCTTATTCATGTCAACAACTTTTTAACTGGCTTTCTTGTAATTTACTTTCTGTTCATCTGTTCTGGCCTGCATCACCATGAAAAACGCAGATAGCTTGGTATAATAAAGAAAAGGAAAGGGGAGCCAAGAGTGGCTGACAAAATAGAACCATTTCAGTGGTGATGTTCACATACAGCTTTTGAAAGACATTTTACATCCTATGAGTTTCTTAGCTTGTACCTATAAATATTCACCTTAAGCTATATAACAAATGAGATAGATAACTTTTGAATGCATGACTTTTATTGTAATGGGGAGTTTTTACTTTGTGGTAATGTTACTTCTACCCAAGGATCTGGTACTTCCACCACTGGTTGGGAATCTAATTTTAAAAAAAAAGTATATTTCCAGTTTTTCCACATAAAAAGACAAAATAGCTGCAATTTCATAATAATTGTGCAAATATTTACCATTTATTGTTTCACAATTTGAATTAGCAGACTTGAAACTCTGTAGTTGCTCTTTTTTATTCCAGTTGGACAAACTCATTCATGATGGAAACATACAGTGTGTCTGTAATACATAGTAAAGTAAGTCTAGGTCGATATTTTACATAATAATAAATTAAAAATGCATACAGTTAGTATCTAACAAAGCCACTGGAAACAGCTGTGTGTGCTCTTTGTTCTTCCTTGGTACAAAATGGCTTTAACAGCTGCAACAAGTTTTTCATGTCAAATGAAGAACAGACTTCTGTGAATCTACAATAAATGCGCTAATATTACTTTGTATATATTATAAAATTAGCAGTAGATTGTTGTCAGTATATTTAAAATGATCTGTTATACAGTATAATTCTTATAAATAAAAAATTCGCCGGTGTGCCGCTGTTCTGTTAGTATCTTTTTAAAAACTTTTTTTTTTTTAACATAGAAAACCTTTTAAATACACACTGTTTATTTTAAAATTAAAAGGAAAAAACTGTATATAAAATTGTGGGAAATTATTTGGTTAGATTTGACAACTTTATGGTAACTTTCTGGCATCACAACTGCCAAATATTACTGTTTTTAACATTTTTTACAGTGTACAATTATCATAACTTAGTACTTCTGTACGTGTGATTCTATGTGGTGAAATGCAGACTGAATGTACATTATAGGAGCAGGTGTTCTGTGTTTTAGGGGTTTAAATGAACCAACCTTGGGCTTGGTGGTGTTGTCCTCCTTGACAATGGTCCACTCTTCTAAATCCAGGCTGTGACCCACTTTAAACCTTTTCATGAAAACGTTTTTGTCACGGTGTTTCCCCCCCTGGATCACCACGCCGCTCACCAACTTGTCCTGGCCCAGATCCACCTGTCAGTGAAGATGACTGGCTAAGCATCTTACAGTTTTGATAAAGAACTTTTCATCGGTATATTTGATTTTGCCTAAAAATAAACCATATGATCCAGTAATAGATGAATTCAAAAAAGGCAGGAATCGATGGTACAGCTGTGTTATTGTAGGTAAATGTATAATCACATGGATCTGTGTAGGTTCACAACCAGGGGGCCAGGACCCCTGCAACCAGTCACCAGGAAACAAAATAATCTAGTTTTTCCTCATGTTAATCTGATTTTTACCTTTTGTATTGTTAATATTTCCCGTTACCTTATTCAATCTATATTTGCAATTTGATAGTGCACCTGACTTGTGAACCCACCTGTATCCACTCGTTTCTAAAGGGCTGCTTGGTTTGCTGCCCGGTCCAGCCCGACCTCCCTGTCAGTAGGCGGGCGTTCTCAGGCACCCAGCCCCGGTCGCTGTAAGATGAGGCGCTGATCTGAGCTTCTGAGATTTGACCCGACACCATCCCCAGCATCCCTGAACATGGGTAGTCTGTGCAGAGGAAGAAAGAGGGAGGGAGAAGGAGAACTGGGATAAGAAACTTTTGAAAAGCGCACAGCACGATAAGGCAGTCCACTACCACGCTTATCTTGTCACTGCTTGAGTCAGCAATTTCAGTCGATGCCCTCTGGGTGCTGCTGCACAAGAGTAGAAATACTAAAGGCCCGTTTATCCAGTCGAGTAGAAATACTAAAGGCCCGTTTATCATTTCTCAAATTGAGTTTGTTTAAAGTGAACAAGAAATTATGAAGTTTTCTGTGAGTATAACTGACTTCTCATTGTATTGGTTTGATCACCCTGGTATTACAAACCTGGGTTTCCATGCAGGTACCATAAGGCCCAGATATATTTGATAGTGGATGTGCACATGTTTCTACTTTTCCCCCAAAGACTCCATGAACCTTAATTTCCACAAGAACTAACATCCTGGAACTTTTATAGAAGTAAGAGTTCTTCCGCTGTGATTTGCCAGATTAGTCCACTGACGTACCAAATTGAAACGGCCACCTTTCAATGCACAGACTTCACCGTCCATCCATGAATCATAAGAACTCTTGGGTTGGTCCACCCTGATTATTGCCGGCCATAAACTACAAACAACACCATATATTTGCAATTTACAAGTTTTTAAAAATGCAGGGTGTAAAACAAAGCTACAGGAGATGCAGTGGGGATTCAGACTGAAAGGGCCCAACGTAAAAAAAATGTAAAGGGTTGGTGGGGATGTATTGAATGAGGTACCAGTGAAACAATGCAGTACAATCCAGGAAGTCCAGTTTCAGGAACAGATTCCAAAACACTGCAAAGCCATTTATAACATTACATGTACAGAGTTTCCAGAGTTATTACAGGGGCACTAATTTCTCACTGTTCATGTTACTAAATGATTTACCAGCTCTTGCACAGATTTCACTGGCCTCTGCAGTTCCTTGCCAGATGATACTGCATTGCGTTGCTAGGTTCAGCTTTTCTGTTGGTGTCATCTGCATTGGCACCCCACTGTGTTAACAGACAGGCTCATTCATATGAATGAGGGGGTGCATTTTACCATGCATAACTACAGTCGGTCTGATATCTTAATCATTCCAATGAGCACGGGCTCCCACAAAAACGCTGACTCTGGCTGAACTCTGGTGGCTGTATTACTCAGACTGCACCACTAGGATCAAGTCAAAGCACCCACAAAGTTGCCACAAAGGGCTTTACCATCTGTACAACATATGACACTTGCTATTCTTAGCCCTTTGACTTGAATGAGGAAAACTCCCCCCAGATATCGCTGTAATGGGAAGAAACTTCATGTTTTATCTTTCGTACCTGAAGCAACAAGCCCCACTAACACAGACATATAGGGTTTTTAATGCAGTGCTATTTTTGGACTGAATGCTTCAAACAACTACTGCTACAACTGAACACACTACTACAGTGTGGGATTTGTACATTTTGCATGTCCATCTGAGATTTACACACAAGTACACACTGCCAGAAGTCACCAGGCAGCTGGTAGCAGAACTTGGAACATGTTGGGTGTGCAAAGCCTTGTCTCGTGGGCACTGGGCATCGAAAGACTCGCCTGTTGACCTCGAGGCTACAATACAATCTGTTGAATAACCAGGCCAGTCTGCTCTCTTCAACATTGCTATTTTAGGTGGGCTAGTATCAGGAAATAAAGTGTGATAATTAATGGATAATTGGGAGCCTTTAGCTGTGCTTCCAGTTTTCTCAGAATAAGAAAACTTAATCAAACTCTGAAGTACTTGGACTCGCCGGTCTGGTCATTGCGAGCCAAGTTAAATCCATTATCCGCAACGATCTAGATCTAATATTTTGGTTGAAACGGGTGTGGTTTCAGTGTGATATTTGTATATTTATGTTTGATTCTGAACAGCTCCCAAGAATGTAAAAGCCTCCACCATTACAATTTAAAGCTACAGAGTTCTAGATGAAAATTCTCTACTGGATTGTTGGTGTGCTTTTCTGTGTTTGAGAACCAAACCAAATGTCCTTCCAAGGACAGAAAGAATGGATTACATGTGAGACAGTGGGCTTGTCTTGTACAGTACAAGTTATTGTTTTTATCACTTTAAATGGCTTTTTTTTTGTGTGTCAGCCCTGTGACAGATCGGCGACCTGTCCAGGGTGGACCCCGCCTCTCGCACAATGTCAGCTGGAATTGGCTAAAACCCCCCCACCGGCCCTCTTC